AGAAAGAGAAAGGGAGGCTGGTGACTCTGCACAGCCTTTCCTCACTTAAATACAGTTCATTTGCATGTCATGGCATCACCTCCCTGATGTCATCATGGTCCTCTTGGAGAACAAAGTACAAACAACAACAATCTATGTGTAATAACACATACATACATACAAACTCATACACGCATCTCCACTTCCTCAGTATTTGCCTAAAAGATTAGCCTAGAATTAATTTGATTATTAATCTGAAGAATCAAAGAATAGAAAAAAATGGATAAAACTAGAAACTGCATGCATCCTTTTGGAAAATTATTAATTTTTTTGTTTAAGACCTTCTTATTTACAGACTTGACAGCACATCAACTAATGTCTTTTTAAAGCTTTCTTCTAGCCCTGTGTAGTTCTAAGACTTAAAATTAGCTAGGTATCTTGGTTCTAAGAGTATAGAACCAGACTGAAAAGAAAGTTGACTTACTGCTGTTGGCTAATTGGTAAAAAATAATGTCATCTGAATAGCCAAAGAGTCTTAAGTACAAGAGCATTCTTAAGGAAATATAATTTTATTACTTTTAAATATATTTAAATAATTAGAACTAAAGAAGAGTGTTATCAAGAAGAGACATTTAGCAGAACTATTTTAATGGACGAGAATGATCTGTAATTCATAAATTATGTTTATATGTGAATATGAGTTTTAAAATAATTGAAAACTCAAGTCTCTTTGTTGAGTCAAACATTTTCTTTGAAATCTTCTGTACTAATTTACTTATTAAATCTCTTTTCCACAAATGGTATAAAGGTATATTTCAGTTCAGTCCTTAATTGATGACAAATTTTGAATTAAGTAGAATTCAGAATGAGGACATTTTACTGTAAGATATGTCTGCAAGGTTCGAGAGATAAATATTTCTTTCTATTCCTCATGAGGTTATTTTGATATGGGGTTAGTCACAAGCATAATAACTAAGGTTATTCAATTTTGTAGGTAATGGTTTATTTCTGCTAACTGAGCAGTTTTATCTAAAAGCAGAGCTGTCTTACCAGTTAGCTGACAACAGACTTCTATAAAACATGAAAGTTTTATAATAGATTCCAGGAATTTTCAAAGCTACAGTAGACTAAATTTGCTTCCAGACCAATTAGTGGGGCTCTCTGTAATGCCATATTTGAGTTCCTGCTGAGGAAACATAGCTCATAATGGTGTCAAATTAGAAGCACAAGGATTTCTTTTGGTTTGGGAATTACAGTAAACCTTCCCAACCTTCCTCTCCTGGGCCCATGCCCAAGGGAGGGGCTGCCTGGCAAATAGTGCATCAACTCCTGACTTTAGATTCTAAACCCAACCCACACCCCTTCCAATAATGAGACTGTAGCTTATTCAAGCCACCCATGGCCACACATCAACAGTTTCTTTATTCTTAACATTTTGAGAAAAACATTCCTTATTTGCATGTCTGGCCATAAAAAAAAAACATATGTTCTCAGACTCTTTGCCACTGAAAAAAAGGAAAGTGGATTTGCCAAACAAATAAAAAAATACTAGCATGAAAGGAGCAAGAAAAAGAAGGAATTTTTCTCAACAATTTGAAGTGGAATTATAGAACTCTATTTAGTCGGGAAGTATTGGCTGTCTTCATTCTGTGGAGAATTTACCTAATCTTTTTGGGCATGGCGCCATATTACATACACCAAGAAGAAGGGAGTGTGTCCTGAGAAAAAGGTTTATTCATTCTCTTAATACTTATTGAATTCCCATAGGGTGCCTGGAACTGTATACTAGGTACTAAAAGATATAAGGTTGGAAACTGGCCAGTGACAGATGGAATTACTTTACTGCATAATTTGAAGTTTTGCCTTTGTAAATTAAGATCCTGTTTTATGTGAGTCCTGGTTAAAACTTAAGAGTTCACCCACTTCCTACCAGCTTGACAGCCTGTGAAATCAGCCAGGCCACTTCTACTCTGGGTTTGAATTTTTGGCAAATATGGAACAGAAGCAGGCAAGCTGTTACCCGTGGAAAAACCCATTCTTCTAGAATTCCCCTCTTCCCCACCTCCCTTTGGGCCAATAAAGCTTTGGTTTCCAAGCCTTCAGGCCACAGAACAAGCTGTTGATTTTGCTAGGAAACAACAGCAGGGGGGCAGTTTTTATATAAAGTTTTATAGAAACCTCAATTTACATAAAAAAAGCAGTTCCACTGCCAGAGAGACCTTCACCCAAAGAGATTAGTGCTCTCCTGTTGGTGACTTTAGGAATCAGCTACCTAACAAATTACATGTGCTCCATGGGAAAGAGAGAATAGAAAGCCAAGTTATTAGACTGCTCAGTTTTACACACACACACACACACACACACACACACACACACACACACACACACACACACACACCCCACTCACAAGTATTACAAATAGCATTTCTGGCAATGCTACCCCAAATCTTATCCTCTGTGAACTGTCACAATCATCCTGTCCATTTGACTCCTAGCCCTAATATTTGTTCAATTTCTCTTTTGTCTTTTATGACAACAAATACAACCTTTACATTTCTATAATAAAGTTTACATTAATAGCTAATATTTAGAATGCTTTATGGTTTGCAGAGCATTTACAAATATTATTTCCTTGGAGTCTCATCACAGTTCTGTAAGGAAGGTGCTATTGTTTACAAATGACAAAACTGAAGTTGAAAAGGTTGATTGGACTTGGTCAGGGTTACATTGCTAGTACACGTCAAAGGCAGGTCAAAACTCAGGTTTTCCTGACTCTCACATCTAACATTCTATCCAATACCACCTAGCTGCTTTACAATAACAAAGCACTCTCCTTTTAAGGAACCTTGGGATGGGAAGGGCAAGAATCACATCGTCATTTTGAAGAGGAGGAGAGGTTAAGTGACTTCCCCATGATCACACAATCAATATGTTTCTAAGGTGAAATCTGAATCCAGAACTCCTGCCCCCAGATCTAGCACTCTGACCTCTTTGCTACACGAATTAAAAGGTAACAAAAAAGAATGAAAACGCAAACATTGAATGATGCTGCTTGTCATAAAATACTTGTACAATGTTCTCTGGGGGAAAAGGTTACACTTTATGGCTAAAATGGAGGGGAAAAGAATTATTATCCATGGATTTCAGTCCTCCTCTCGTTGGCACAGGTAAAAGAGAGCTGGCTACATGCACAGACTTGACCATCTGTGGACTAGCTGGCAAATGGCAGACAGAGATATCTGAGGACTATTTTTATTCTTGAGCATTGCCAGCAATAGAATTTTCAAAACAACAAAACTATAATGTCTCTCATGGGCTTACATTAGGCACTCCTTTTTCTAATTATAGAATTCTAACGCATGGCAAAGTGGATAAAGTCCGGGACCGGGAGTCAGGAAGACTGAAGTTCGAATTTCAAGTCAGATATTTATTAGTTATGAAGTCGCTTAACCTCTTAGGGTCTCTGCTTCCATATCTATAAAATGGAAATAATAATAGTACCTACCTACTAGGGTTATTTTGAAGATTAAATGAGATAACATGTGATAATAATTATTTTGCAAATCTCAAAGGTTCTTTTTCCATAACCACCATTATCAATCATCGATAATAATCCATTTGTCCACTGAGAAACAGCCCTCCAGGCACTTTCTACAGAGACATGCTGAGCAAAGCCTCTGGAAAAGCCAAGACTACTATCCTTCACCATGCCATGTTTTCTTAAGAATCAAATCTCTTTAACTTTCAGTTTCCAGGAAGAAATAGCTTAAGCCAGGAGTGGGGAACCTGCAGCCTTGAGGCCACACGTGGTCCTCTAAATCTTCAAGTGCTGCCCTGTGACTGAATGGGTTCTTTGATATGTAGCCTGGAGGCTGTAGGTTCTCCACCCCAGCTTAAGCTAATGGAACAAATTATTTTGGGAGGGCAAGGGAAGAGGCAGATTTAAACATTTTAATATTGACTACTTTGCTATCAGAAAGAGTAGGAAGTCAGTCAACTAACACTTATTTAGGACCTACTAAGTGCTAGGGATACAAAGAAAGACAAAAACAGTTTCCATTCTCAAGGAAATCACAGTCTAATGGGGAAGATAACATGAAAACAACTATGCACATACAAATAAGATATATACAGGATGAACTGGAGGTGCTCTCAGAGCAAAGGCACTAAGGTGAGACTTTAGCAGAGACAGTTTCTGAATCTCTGCTTTTCTCAAAAACTCTTTTTTGTAAAGTTCCAAAAATGTAAAATTTCACCAACACTCATTACTTGACCTTTTCTTCCCAGTTACCTCTGCATAAAGAATTATGCCATCCTGTTCTACCCCACTGTTTCATACATATTTCAAGACCCATGAGATTTAGCCCACTCACTCATAGCTCAGCCATTTCTAAATCTCATACTTTACAGTTTTTTGTTGTAACATGATAAGATAGAAAGAGTACCCACAGGGATGAAATCACAGATCTTTCAAAATGTGAATGAATCAAAGTTATCACTTGGCCAAGAAGTGAGGAAAACAGCAGTGAAGAAAAAGAAATTCCTTCACTATCTTTCTAACATTAACGAAATAACGGTTACTAGTGAAACTAGGGCAGCATTTTTTTTTCTTTGCATTAAAAAAAAAAGAGAGAGTATCACGTAATGAAGCAGTTATTCCTTTCAGAGGACACAAAAGAAATTATGCATACTGACTTGTTCACATATAATTATCACCACTACAAAGAAACTCATTCTTGTGTGTTCATTAAGTATAAGAAAAGTTAATTATTCTCTCTTCTACAAAAAGGATTTTCAAGGTTCTATTAAGTTCTATAGGACCAAGACAATTTGCAGTTTTGTCTGTTAATGAAAGTCATCAATTTTAAGTGAACTCTGTACCTATGTCATGGATGTTGTACATTGATTGTTCACAGCTAACATTACTTATGGCCATCTACTTGATTTTCATGTAGTCATGAGACTTCATTTACAATTTTTTTTACAGACACCCAGTTATTATAACTCACTCTGAGCCATACCTGAAATTTTTCACCCCGGTTCATCTGAGTTGATCGAAATTCAGGGGAATCTATAAAGGCACAGGGGTAAATATTATGCAGAAAATGTCCTCGATAGGAGACCTTCATTCTGATGATAAAAATATTTGTTAATAACATGCACATAATATTTTGGTACAAATGGTAATATGAACTTAATCTGAACATATTTAATATCCTCATCACTTTCTGGGGTTTTGAAGTTGTTTTGTTTTTGAAGGCTGACCACAGATGCAAGACACATTTGAGTGCTTTCATTCAATCTCTGGACAAATATTTAATCAATGAACTTTCTTGACATCACTTTCCGGAGCATAAAGCATCTCTCCCAAAGGCAGAATCCATTGTTGATGCTGCCATATCTCAAGTCATGGTTGTTTTGACATAATAATTTCAATCCTATGATGTCTGGCATCACTCTTAGAAGTTATATTTCTGGAAATCACCAAATAATAAAACAACCAAATCTGCTCCACCCCCCCCAAGGAAGACTTAAAACATTGCATCAAAACTTTAAGAAGAGTCTCCATTTCTTATTCTAGTTTTACCATTATCCCTTAATAATTTTAATTAATTTAAATAATTTAATTAATTTAAATACAATTAAAATATTTTAATTAATTTAAATTAGTAATCTAATTTTATCATTATCCTAGCAACTGCAATTCTAACCCTCTTCACTTTAAAAGGCCAAAAAAAATATGTACGAAGAAATAACCATATTACCAACAACTGAGAATTCTGTGAATTCACCAAGGTGTATAGAAACAAATTCTAACAATCTTCACCAGGTATATCAAAACAAATCCACTCATTATCACTAATTAATACTATTTTACTGCTATCTAAAATAAGAGCCTCAATTTTTATATAGCACCTACTTTCCCTTCAATAAGATACTCAGGCGGTCATCCACAGATGTTTTATCTTCTGCAGCATAGGTCTGGCCCTTTTTAAGGGTCTGAATATTGCAAAACTGTCCAGTTAATCTTTTGAACAATTCTGGGGGTACACGTAGTGGTTCAAACATTCGCCGGTATACACCAGTGAGTTCCTTTTCAATCTTTATCTGGAATACAAAGAACAAGGACTAGCTGAAAAGGTTGATTCGGTAAACATAAAAAATATATTACGATATTCTCTTCTTAAAGGGTAAACATGTTTCTAATTTATATCATGGATTTTGCACTCATCTCAATATATTGCTTGTGGAGAGATAAAATAATGATGTTGATTTCTATTTTAGATTAATTTTTAAAAATAAGATTTATTGATGCCTTTTGTTTTTACAAAGTCATTTCTAGATATACAATCTCCTCCTTCTAATAACACCCCAGCCCAGAATCAAAATTTTCCTTGTAATAAAGGGGGAAAAAATTAAGCAAAAACAACTGATACTGTAACCTTGGCTGTGACAACATAGGCAATATTCTTGCCTATACTCTACCTTAGGGTAATATTTTCACCGAAATTGAACAGTGTAAATGCATAAGAAGGCTCTTTATATTCATAACTTCTCTTCCTATGGGTTGTGAAATAACTGAGTTTTTTTGTCATAACATATTACCTGTTGTCACAATATAGCATAGCTGCCTTCCTAGTTCTATCAATAAAATGCTGAAACTTGCCATGACTGGAATACCCTTTTTGATAGTATGTATGCATTGAAAAAACAAAACAAAACATGTTCATTTTCAAATACTGCATCAAGATTACAAATAGTCCACAAAACAGTCACTATCAGAAAATATGCAGCAGTTCACTAAGCAAACTCTAAAGAGCCCTGACAGGTCCCCAAGGTCAAAATTATTTTCATAATAATACTATTGCTTATTAAATTGCTCTTCCCTTTCCAACTATTTATGTGTATGAGGCCAGATTTTCTTTATACACTTCATCCAAAACAACAAATCACACAGATTGAAAGCAGAAGCAGATATGAGAATCCAGTAGTCTTCAATTAAGCCAAACATAAAAGAAATTTTCAAAAATCTATAAAACAAAATCACTCTTCTCACTATTTTTTGTTTTGGAAATACAGTTATTTTTCAAAAAAAATTTATGTTGACATGTTATGGATTTATTATCATTTTGAAATGAATTAATATTTTTAAATGTATCGGTTTTAATTTTTAATATGGTGAATATCAATAGGTATAACTTATATAAGTAAGCTCTTTGGAATATCCTCAATGATTTTTCAAGAGTGTAAAGAGGTTCTGAGACCAAAAAGTTTGAGAACCACTGGATTAGAGAACAGAGAATTTAAGTGACTTGTCCAGGGCTACACAGCCAATATATGTCATAGGCAGCAGTCAAACCAAGGCATTTCTTAATATCAAGGCAATTCTTCGTCCACTATTACTCACTGCCTGTCACATATATCATTTTTTGTTTTCATTACTTGTAAATACATCACACAGGCTATTATAGTGTGAAATATAAATATCATATAGTATAGCATAACATAAGTAATATAATACAATATAATATATGATATGATATGATATAAAGATATGTGATCTCTGGATCACAGATTATTTAATCTTTATAGTTCCCCTATGTGAGTAGCAGTGTTTGGCACACAGAAATACCTAATAAGGTTTATGAACACTGGTTATTGGAAAACAGCCATCCTCAAACCATATTGTACAATTTAAATGTCTATTGTTTGATTATTCTCTGACCTGAACTATTCTCCCTCTCTAGGAAGTGACTGAGTATTCTGGAATCCAATGACCTATGAGAGCAATGGAAAATGATGGGGCAAAGTGTGCACAATTTTAGGGTCTACCCAACAGCTCTTATGAGTACCAGAGGGCCTATAGGGCCATGCATCTACTGAAAGTTCTTGAGGAATTATTCTAACTTTTTGCTTTTCTGAATTCCACTTTCATGATGAGATCCACAGAAATTAGAAATGCCCACAAAAGCAAATTTATATTTACAAGATTAAGAATCATATGTACAAATGTGATATCTAGGTAGTCCTTCTGAGGGGTATCATTGTCTCTAGCTCAGCTTAGAGATGCATGTCCCCTAAAGTGTTTCCTGAATTTCATGACTCTGGGAATTGGAAATGCGTGCAAGTTCTGAGAGAACTGGATTTCAGTTCACTGAAAACAATTCAAGATTAACCCATCTCAAAGTTACTTAGCTACATTTTCCATAGGCAAATCACTTAATTTCTCGAAGGCAGTTTGTTCATCTTTAAGATACTGACAGCTTGGCAAAGTGGAGAAAGAGCCAGCTTCAGAGACCCCAGGTCTTGCTTCTGACATGTGCTCACTATGAGACCCTGAGAAAGTTACTCCCTAGGCCTCTCTCTAATGCTTTAAGTTGAAGACCAGATATCTCCTGCAGCCATGGTCTCCCCATTCTTCAAGTTCTAGCTAAAGTTGCTAATCTCAGAGAATCTTTCTGTAGGAAGCCAGTCCCCATTTAGAAGCAGAACATACCTTCTGGGCAGTCTTGTCAATTTGTTTATTTGTTCATTTATCTGTTTGTTTGTTTGCTTATTTATTCATTCATTCATTCATTCATTCATCCATCTATTTATTTATTTATCTGTTTATTCATTCATTCATTCACTCATTCACTCATCTATTTATCCATTCATTGGCAATTGGGGTTAAGTGACTTGCCCAGGGTCACACAACTAGTAAGTGTCTAGTGTTTGGTCTGAGGTCACATTTGAACTCGGGTCCTCCTGACTTCAGGGCCAGTGCTCCATCTACTGCGCCACCTAGCTACCCCTTAGCCAGTCCCCATTTAATTCACATTTCCCTGCCTAAATTCCTATTGCACTAGTGCCTATAACTTATAATTTAGCACTTCAGGGTATGTTATCATTTTGCCCTCTAATTGTGTAAGTCAGTCTTTCCAAGAAGAATGTGAGTTTCTTGAAAGTATTCGATGTGCAACACTCCCTCTTGCTGGGCACAAAATAAGCAACATCAGCCATAGTTATGATGAAAAGATGACATTTTCCATACTCCCTTCCATTGTATCTTTAGCATCATGTATTCTTATTGCCATCAAATCTTTTTTTTTTTAAAACGAGCTAACTCATAATGTTAAAGGAGATGTTAAAAATGATGCTTTTGAACCATCAACAGGATAACAGTATAACTAAATTTTAGCACAGGAAAATAATTGAAATAAATGTTGTCTTAAAAGTAGAAGTGCTTTTGTGAAAAAAAGATCCCATAAACTAGACATAACATTATTGGCTAACTTTTAGAATTTGCTAAATCTCAATCAAATTTCTCCTAAATGAGAGATATTCAACTATTATTCAGGAAGGTTAATATTCCCACATTACCTAACTTATAATTTTTATCTTGCTCCATGAATTCTAAATAAACTTTCAGTTTGTGTAGAACTTTTTTTTGTGTGTGTGTATGTGGGAAGGGTTTCAACCTGTGATTTCATTGGCTTCAGGAAAATCACTCAGCCAACATATGTTGGCAATTATTTTGCAGCTTAGATTCTAGGGAGTTGTGTGGTCCACTGAAAAGTTGAGCGATTTGCCCACATTACACAGCTAATACATGCTAGAGGCAGAGCTTGAATCCAGGACTTGGTGGCTTCCAGGTTGGCTCTCTATCCTCCATGTTATGCTGTTTTTCTTGAAATTGCAGGTTCCAAAACTACAACTTCTTATAGTTTCCAAAAATGTTACTTTCATATATACAGAAATGGAAAATCCACCATAAAAGTTAGAATATAGAAGAACTAAAATTATTGGAAACTCATACATGGACCCAAGAAAATTCCTTTTCAAAACTCACATTAAACTTATATTCATTATTGACCTGTGGGGAGGAACTACATACCGGTCTCTTTTTGTACAGTAGGTACAGAAAATGCAACAGGTTGACAATCAGGAAGGCAGAATTCCAGATCATTATATCCAAGGCACAACGATAGAGTGTGGCCCAGACAATAAAAAGAGCACATCCTGTCAAATAATGAATAAAAGATAAATTATTAGAAGATTCAAGTCTAACTTCAATACACATATAAAATATCTTCTCCAATATGAAATAACATCTGACAGATACTTGTGGATCACTTTAACATTGTGGAAAAATGAAAAATTACATTCATTTTGTTTTGTTTTGTTTTGTTTTACTGCTGAAGAAATGCCCTAGGAGCCTTCTGTTTAAGGCTTTGTCTGATTTTGAATGAAAGGATGTAATGAATAATTCATGCTTCCAACTGATAGAACTGGAAACTGAGGGAGGTACCTATCAACTGAGGAATAGCTAAATAAATTATGATATATGAATGTGATGGGATATTATTGTCTCATAAAATGATAAAAGACATGGTTTAAGAGAAATCTGGGAAGAGTCATATCAACTGGTGCAGAGTGAAGAGAACAGAACTAGGAGGACAGTATTTACAAAAACAACATTATAAAGCAGATAGTTTCAAAAAAAAAAGACTTAAGAACTCTGATTATTACAATGACCAATTACAATCCCAGAGAACCAATGATGAAGTGCACTACCTACCTCCTGACAGAGAGATGATGGACTCAGGGTCCAGAACAATACATAAAATTTTTTGGACATGCCCAATATAGGAATTTATTTGCTTGATTATGCATATCTGTTACAATGGTTCGCTCTCTCTCTCTCTCTCTCTCTCTCTCTCTCTCTCTCTCAGTTAGAGTGAAGTAGAAGGAAGAAAAAATAGATTTTTATTAATTAAAAAAACTCTAAATTGTTAAAAGACTAGATTTATATCATCATATGACAGAGGAACAGAGGCATTCTAATTTCCAACAACAATAAACAAAAATAATTCATCTGAGAATTTCATCTGACATTTTTGAATATCATTAATAGGATCCGATTTATGGTGTATGTATGGAATAGGTATGACTCTGGTCAAGTCACAATGTGACATATACTATACTAATACTGCATAATAATATATATTTTATATGTATAAATAATATAATATGTAGTATAATATATAATAATAATACACCTATACTAATAAAATTACAAGTCTACTCCCCAAAGTCTCCTTAATATTTACTCAATAATAACACACTTAAATGCAGATTTTCCCCCTAATACCTAAAACAATTGTTCCAATGAAATTCTCTAAGTTTTGGTTTCCTTTTACATAAAATATAGAGGCTGTACTAGATCATCTCTAAGAATCCTTCTGGGGCAGCTAAGTGGTACAGTGGATAGAGCACCAGCCCTGTATTCAAGAGGACCTGAGTTCAAATGTGGCATCAGACACATAACACTTACTAGTCTAGCTGTGTGACAGTGGGCAAGTCACGTAACTCCATTGCCTAACCAAAAAAAGAAAAGAAAAGAATCCTTCTAGCCCAACATTCTATGATTCTGCTTTAATATATTCTTAGCTTTATTTAAAAAAAATCCTCAGAATTATCTTTTCCCTTTTTCATAAGGTTAGCTCACTGGCATCAGACAAACAACAATAAAGACAAGATTCTCTGTCAAAGACCACAGAATCTTAGAGCCAGAACGAACCTTAAAGGACATCTAGTCTAAAACTAAAGACTAGAAAGGGAAGTGACTTGACCAAGGTCACAGAGGTAAGAACTGTCAGAGGCAGGATTTGAACTCAGATTTTCTGACTCCAAATCCAGAGCTTTTCTATCACATCACAATGAAATTGATGCTGCCATTTATATATTTCAGGCAAATCCCCTGATTCTGCCTAATACCCAGATAACCAAGTCCAAAGAGAAGGTTTCACTTGCATTGCTGATCCTGAATAGGTAGGTGATTCAGTCCTCTACTTTGCATTACTGACATTTGAAACACTGAAAACAAGCCATCAGAAAAACCATGTAATCATAGATAAAAGTATGGAACATGACAAAATAAAAAGAACACGTGTGCCTTGCCCAAAGGGATAAATCAGTATTGGGGGCCCTAAGAACCTTGTTTGACTCTTTAGGTTGCCCAGAAATAATAAAACCTTTCATTTGATTTCATCATATATAAACCTGACAAAAAGATATGATGAATTGATCAAACCAAGAATTATATCATGATAATGAAAGAAAATGATGAAAAACAGTATTATGCGCTTACCTATAGTTAACAACCCTCTAAGAAATATCATATGAAGAGTCAAAGTAGTTGGAATAACCAAAGCAACTATGAAACAGATATTTGCTACATGGAAAACTAGGTGATGTATCTCTCTCCAGTTTTCACAAGTGGTTTCATTGGAGGGTACAGGCAGGAGGTTTTCAAGTTCAGATGTAAGATCTCTTGTTGTTAATTCATTCAATGAACTGGCATCTGTGTGATTCATCGTGAAAATTCCTGTTAAGAAAATAAATAAGAAATGCTAAAACTTAGTCATATTATTTGACACTCCATGAGAGCTCCTTGCTTAGCAACAAAACCATTGGTTGACATTCATACTTAATTTTACTCAAATGATTTTCTTGAAAAGTTTCTTAGAAGTTGAATTGTTATAAATTAAATCATACTTTAAAATGCATTAAGAACTTCAATTAAAAAGAATTCCAATTAGAGTTATTTTGACTGTTATAAATACCCAAATTAACTTATAAAGGACATATGAAGAAAGACCCTATTCTGCGTCCAGAGAAAGAACTGATAAATAGAAGCACGTATAGAATAATTTTACATATATGTGTGTACATACATATACATATATATATATTTGTGTGTGTATACCTACTCGCATCTAATGGTAGCCATGTCTAGGGTGGGAGGTGGGAGTAGGGGAAAAAAAGAAATTTACATAATAATTTTGTTGCATATTTGAAAGGAATAGATTTGCAGTTTCATGTACTATCATCTTTTTCATTGTACTATGCTATGGGAATGCTTGTTTTATTCCATTAATTAAAAATAAAATTAAAAAGAATTCCAACTATAAAGGAATTCTAATACATTCTGCATGTTTAAAGGAGTCCTTATAATGAATTCTTCTGTGAAATGAATATAGTGCAAGCACCTCCTAAGGTACATTTAATTACTTGAATTATCAAGGATCTTTGATTTCACTAGTGTGGATCCTTTTAACTCTGCAGCTTGAAGCACTTACAACGTGTTAGCCAGTGGTGTTCATGGGTTGCTGTGGCCATAACACTTCATCACCTGGGGCTAATCTTACAGTAATAAGCCTTTGCCCACTTAGCCAAGCCAGTCCTAAGAGGACAGACATACAGTCTGGCCATCACTGGGCCCAGACTTCAGGCCCTTTCTACCTTGGAAGGATCTACTAGACCTTATACTCCATTGACACTGCCATTAAGAACTTAGGATCACCTCCATGGGCAACTGTATTGAGACTTTAATTGAGGAAGTTATAGATGAACTAATGGGGGTAAATACTGGAAATATCATCAATTCCAACTCCCTCATTTTTGCTTAAAGTGGGGTGTCTATTGTATCCAAAGGTACTAAAAAGAGAAAGGAAACAAACGTTTATCAAATTCCTATTCTGTGCCAGAAACTATGCTAAGTTCTTTACAAATCTTATCTCATCTGATCTTCACAAGCCTGGGAGGTAGGTGCTATTATTATCATCCCCTTTTTATAGTTAGGGAAACTAAGGCTCACATGAGCAGTGGAGTCAGATGGCTCCAGTCAGTGGCTCAGTGGCCTGGAGTCAGAAAGACTAAGTTCAAATTCAGCCTTAAAGACTTATTGACTGTGTGACCTTGGGCAAATCACTTAACCCTCTTTGCCTCAGTTTCCTTATCTGTCAAATGAGCTGGAGAAGGAAATGGCAAACCACTCCAGCATCTTTACCAAGGACACCCCAAATGGGATCACAGAGAGACAACAACAATAAAAAGGGTCCTATACCCAGTGTCTGAGGCTGGAATTAAATTCAAGTCTTTTTAACTTTACACACAGTATTCTATCCTTTGTGCTATCTACCTGCCTAAAAGAGAATTTAGATCCAATTTTGTACACAAGATATAAATCCTCTTTTTTTAAAATTTCTTGTTTTTTCCTGCAACGAGGGGGAAAAGTATGAGCCTGTGCTTTCAGTGGTGTGTAGAAAACCACTTCTTTCCATGCAGAACAGTAACTAGTCTGTAACAGTTAATCTTAGAGTACTACCCAGGGCATTAAGAGGTTAAGTGGCTTTCCTAGGGTCATACACCTGGTCTGTATGAGGTAGGATTTGAATCCAGGACTTTCTGATTCCAAGACCAGAACTCTAACCAGTAGAGCAGTACTCTGCTTCTCTTATAAACCACCTCTTGAATCCACAAAAAGTTCATGACAGGCAACAATAATAATAATGATAGATATAGGAGTGAGCCACAAATTTTAATTCACCACATAATTAAAATAAGTTGATTCACTGGCAAGGGAGGGAGAGACTGCAGTTGTGAAAGGTTAATCAACAAAGTCTGCTGGTTACAAATATTATGAAGTTCTTTATATAGAAAAAGAATAAAGAGGAGAAAGTCAAGCTTCAAATGTTTCATGTGATCAAAATGCCTTTATTAAATTATTTTTGAAAGCAGTATATTTTTGTAAAGGCAATATTACTTTTTTATTAGTTCATGAACCACAGATATTAATGTAATCTCTCTCTCTGTCACACACACACACACACACACACATTGCTTAATTACTTCTATTACTACTATTAATCTTGCTTTACTTTCCAGATAGTGATTTCCCTATGTTGTACATTGGAAATTAAAAAGCATACTTTTACACAGTGTAGCATGATTCCCTCTTCCCAGAATAGAGGTGGTGGTCTACAGGTGAACAATTAGGTATATACAGTCAGATATAGCTAGGAGGTTGATTTATTTTACTTAGCTGTTCTTTGTTGCAAAGAAGGACTGGACTGGGTATGAGGTAAGGAAGTCACTGGAAATATGCAAAAAAAAAGTATCAAGGAAACAATAACCGAAAAAATAAGAGCCTATGAATTATAAAATTAAAGATATAGCTTGAGTATTAATTTCATAAAAATTTTAAAATAAGGAGATCAAAATTATCTGTAATTAGAAGTCTATTGATGTGAAAACTTAGAAATTCCTTCTTGGAATTCAAATATCTTATTTTGATATACATGATTATTTAACAATTTAAAAAAAGGTTGTCTTTATTAATTACCTAAATGAAATTAATTTCCAACCAAATACTGCTTTGTGTCCACTTCTCCGTTATCCTACTATTTATTTAAGTACTCCTATCTTTAATAAATATGGTTTGGGGAAAATCTATGTGGTCTGTGTTTGCTTACATAAAACTCAACACCAAGTGGCACCATTTGCTGAGTCCTTTATCATTTGTGGGTTATCCCTCTTTTAAAAAAATGTTTTATTATAAACTCTCTGAAACCTGATCCATTATACAAACTACTTGGCTTTAGGGGAAAAAACCTAAAATATTAATGCAGCTGTTTCAGAAAAATAATTACTCAAATGGGAACAGTTTATAATGTTTCATTTAGTTCATAATATCTATTTTTCCATTATACAACTTTACCTCTTTCAATTACTGAAAACATGCAAAATAAAGATCTTAAGAAGTAGAGTAATTAGTACAAGTTAGATATGCTGAAGTCAGAGAGTCAGAGTTAAATGAAATTTTCAAAGAATTCCACATTTCTTTAAATGCTGAAAAACTTTTTTTCCAGCTTTTGCAAAATTTACATGAAACACAATTAAAGTTTGGAATCCAACCTCTTTATTTAATAGATTAGTTACTGGAAAATCACTAAGTAGATTTGTTAGATATCTACTAGAAGCAACATCTAACTTCTGCATTGTTCTGAAGCTCAAATATATAATGCTACTAGCAAAAGGCTAGTGCTGACTTACACATCAATTTGCCAGAAAAAGGAAAATAAGACATCCTAAAATCCAACCACATTTGAAATGTCCATGTTAAAACAAATATATCCCTATCAGACTTATTTAGTGACTTTTTTTACATTAGGATTCATTCATAAAACTCATGGTTTTTGATAGCCAACCATACCTATATACTATGTAGAATACAAATAATGCAATTCCCCTGGCTGCAATTCAGTAAACATTTATTAAACCTATATTGTATGCAAAATATTCTGCTAAGCACATGCAGAAAGATAAGTTCAGATAAGATCCCCATCCTCATGGAGCTTACTGTCTAGTAGAGGGGTAAGAAACTTGGAAATAACTAAAATACAGGATAATCCCATTAGAGAATCGTGAAACATCCAAATGTTATAATTTGAGAAAGAAAAAAGCCTGAGATTAAATTCCAGTTTCTTTTCTACTAATTATTAAACCTCACAGTCCATAAGTTAGCTCTGATCACCCCAGGAAGACATATTAAATATGCCTGATGACGTGAGTGGTAGCTGAAGGAGCATTTCCTATTAGCAAATCCTCCCCCACATTAGGCTTAATTTTCCCTGAATAATCATTCTTTTTAAAAATCCCAGAGAAAAAATAATGGATATTCACATTCTAGCTACAGCTAAAGAAAAGTCAGGAAGAATTGAAATGTTTTTGTTATGATCAATAGTTTTTATGAACATATTTCTGTGATAATATTTTAGCCTACTAATTACTTCTTACTGAATTAAGAATAGATAGGGAAAACTGTCAGCCACATTGTTATTGACCGCCATAGTTTCCTTGTGGGCATCCTGATGATTTCATCTATCAATGAAGTACATAAAGAAGATCAGATTCCATATTATAATATGCCTACAAAACTAACTGAATCAGGTAGAGTCTCAGGTCTGACATGGAATTCTCAGTAATGTTACTTTTAAGCTGTCAGTGATATAGTGCACTATTCACTTATATATAATAATAAATATACCTGTTTAATACACACACGCATACATACACATCTACGCACATTTAAAATATTTGGGGAATCAGCTGAAGTTGTAATCAGGGTCCACAGCAACAACAAAATATTTAAAATTTCCTGAAGAGGTGCTTAAAGCCATATTTTTCCCCTGATTAACTGTAAAATACAAACAAAAATTATATTTTGAAGCCTTGATTATTGTTGAATTAAGTTTCTTTATAGGAAATGCTATTTCATTAGAAGAATGCAGATTAAGATGCAATTGCTTAAAAAAGCGTAGCAAAGTAAACAAAACAAAGACTAACTGAAGTTAAGAAACCATGCTAACTTCTAAGACTTCATTGTTTTGCCTAGACAGCAATTAGTGGGATTTTTTTTTATTGAAAAGATTTGCTACAGCATGTTATAGATATAATTTACTCCATGAAGGAGTTCATTAAGTGATCAATCCAAAAAGAGTTGGATTATACTATGATTGCATTTATTTGCCACATTTGAGACTA